TTGGTCAGAATCAGACAAAGACCCAGGACCCGAACCAAAAGTCTGGGGCGACTCAATGCTTTACCACGGTCCGAAACACTTGTGCACTACACAACCTAAAACCAGTTAAAGATCATCTCAATCAGGTTTCAAAGGTAAAATGCATTAGTCAAGAGCTCATGAGACAAAAAATTCAAGAAAACCATCGAACTTTCCAACATGTACGTCTAAAAAAGCACTAAAATCGAGTAGCATTGCATAAGTTGCTAACGTTTATGCGTCTGCATATGTAACAGCCAACTTTTTTTTCTGGTATGATCCTGCTCATCATGAAAAATTAGTTGTATTGATCTTGCCTAAGTTGTGCATCAATGGGTAAATTTAGTTCTAATTTATACTGTATAGGAGCATGTACATCTTCCAATCTTCGATTACAAGTTTTTTTGTAATCAACAATATCAATCTGCCATTTTAGGAGATTAAAGATCGTGCGAGAATATAAGGCCGAACACAAGTGCTATTGCCTCCACATGTCGAGCAGTAATAGATCATCCTCCGTTTTGTTCTTGTGCGTTTGGCAACGTGTAACGGATCGTATCTCCTTACTAAATCTTTGTTTCCACAGTGTTGAGCTTTCGGTTATGTAGTATTCTCAGCAGGTCCATACTGGCAAACTAAGTTTAAAGATGCGCACGTTCTCGTGCGCGTCCACTCACAGGAATTAAAAGTTGGGTGTAGCCCTTAAGATGACAAAATTTGGTTTTTGGGGATCTCGTAACTGACCATTTAAAAAAATAGGAGCTCTGACAAGTCTCACCAATAGGCCGATAAATGTTAGGAAGGTGTTCGGGCATAGGCTTACTGCTTTCATTATTTGGTATAGCCTCATGTTGTTGTTGTTGTTGTGGTTAATGTAGTTATTATTGCACTTGTTGGGCTCCATAGGCTCGAGAGGCAACAAAATGATTTGAGCCGAATTAATTTGTGGTGACCTCCATCTGTTTTTGACAAGATTTGTCAAAATGAGACTGTCAACTTTCAAGCTAGAAGCATTATTATCTACAATACCTTTGTATTATTTTGTGCAGTATTATTGTGACCCTTCGTTGTTGCCGATAATTCAGTCGTCGTTTCCAGGTGTTGGCTCGTAATAGCAGTCCGTTGAAGATTTTAAAAAAACTTTTTCAGCCAGTTCTCTAAATGCTGAGCGCTCGTGAGTACTAGCACTCAAACATATCTTGAAGTCAGTTTTTGTACCCCTTGGCTTCATAAAGATTCTTATACTTCTTACACGTAAAGTTGGTACTGACAAATGTACCCGTGCCGTCTCCGTCAATCTTGAAAATGTTAACGCTTTTGATGATGAACAAAGCATTGGATCCTTGTTGGAGTGTTCCACATCACTGTCCAATTACTTTATCTACCTTTTTAGTCTTGCGCTTTTTGTAGAGTCGACTAGCGTACAAATTAGAGTCGCTCTAATCGATAAAGACATGGTCGTTTGGCTTTGCTGATGGGGGTTAAAAAGACGATATTACATCATAAGCAAACCACGCATATCACAATTGTCTTCATTCATGCTGCTGAAATGTTTAACTTACTTCAGGATCCAACACTGTTGCAAGCTCGTTAACGTACTGCCCATCAGATCTCTCCTTTCCGCTTTCAATCTCTAAACCACGACTTTTATCGATGATTCGAGAAATGCACCTTGTGTGAGCGAAGAACTCCTTGAAAACACACCAACAGCATGAAAAATAGAGGTACCACTGATGCAGTGGAGTATTCGCTCATTTTTTGAGACAATTTTAACTCCCCGCTGGGGCCTAGACGACCGAATAACGATGAACATTCTTTAATTTCGCTTGCAATTGTTCCTTTCTCACCGTTTGCACCCGTCGGTAAGGTGGGCTGCACTCTTCTAGATATACTCGACTTGATGCTGGAATCAATCTATTAGACTTAGTATTGACCAGTTGGTAATTCCTCACAAAATTTCGCATTCTTGATTAACTCTCTTCCGTAGTTGCTGCGATCAGCCTAAATAGTCTTGTACAAAAAGATAAAACTTGAGACGCGGGCCCTCTGACCACTTGAGCCGGATCGAGATCATGTAATGAAACTTGTGTGGTTGCCTGCGTTCGATCGCAGTTATGGGGTCCTTGCACTTCTTGCCAAATAGCTCCAGGAGTGATCTTTCAGTTCATATTTTTGAAGTCATCTGACGTCGGGAGGCCAAATGTCCTGTCTGGAAGAAAAACGACACGTACTTATCTTAAATACTTTAAACTCACTTCAATGTTACCCAACTTAAGACTAAAACTACTGCTACGATTACCTAGTATGTCAGGATTGACCGCCACGTGTCGTCTCCATGCCGATTGGATTTGCAATCTTTCACAATTACGTGGCCCACGCATAATTGTAAAAGGCAATCGTAAACCCTAATCACGGACCCTCGACCGTAGCGCTCCAATCACGGTCCCTAAACAAGGACCCCATCTTCTTTTCTTATTCTGAAACGCGCTGATTGATAAAGTACTGTATGTTCACTTATCCAACGGTGACGTCTATGTTAATGTTCATCGCTTTACCACTGTTCAACCCGATATCACTTTTAATTGAGCTGGAGTCATAGTTTTTATGTACCCATTCTCGCTCGACTTTGCACTGTTATATTAGAGAATACTTTAACCGTAAAAAAGGCACCGTGGCCTACAAAAAAGATCAAGATTGTATTTAAACTGTTCCAATTATTAAATACCCACGACATGCCTATAATACTTCTTACAGGTGCTCTAGCACCTTATTAACTTTTCCACAAGAGCCCATTCATGTTTCATAAGCACATATTGCTGAAGATCGACGTCACTTTCTATTTAAGCTACAGTGACGTTGCGAGGCGCAAATACACGCTATAAATTTGTAAAGTAGAATTTCGTTTAAAAATACATCTTCAACATAATTTCGGCTTCAATGCGTGATGCGAACAGATCTGCAAACGTATCACACAAACTTGAACTCGCTGCGGCGAACTGTTCGTAAAATTATGAAGTTACAAAATCTACATACTGCTTTACCTACTGCGTATAACAATGTAAACAATTTTGCATGTCATAATGATAATTTTAAAAAATGAGCTTATTCAATTTTAAAATGTAACTTTTTCAATTTCTCTATATTGGATGCAAAAATCGCATCTGTGGGCATTAAAATGATACGTCTAGTATGTTTTAATTCGATTATTGATCAAATATTTGATCAGCTTGATACAATCATTTTACATCAGCTTTATCACATAGGTCGAAAGGCTAAGCAGGATGTCGCCTCTGGTGAATCCGGAAATGATAAATATTGCTGCAGGCATGTTGCATCTACGCCTTTCGCTACAACAATTATGCCGATGATGTAAATTATTTTGGTCAAAATTTTAAGCGTTTCCAATGCATTAACAGCTCTCATCAAGGTTTTGGCCGCTGTGATCTCTGATAATCTACACTGCAGCAGCAACCAGATTTCAGAGCTTACAATTGTCATTCGTCCAATGGCATCATCATTTTAGTGATTTGCCACATCTTATAACTAACGATGATTCGGAGAAGTCCAGCAATTATTAGTGATATACAGTTTTTTGTTCAGTTTATACAAAGACATCCTTATGTGTTTACATCCTACATTTATCGACGCTAGCAGATGTATTTGGTCACAACATTAGAGCGTGCATGTGCCCTGGTAAAACAACATTTAAAATATCGCGTATGATCGTATCTGCGGACATTAACAAATGGCTCGTTGCAGGATCGCAAATCTCACAAAGATCACACATCTGCCTATACTCTACAAAGTAATATGGCAGCGAATACTCTAATAAATTTATGAGCAATGCCATCATAAATGTATGCTTTTTTACCTCAGGTTTCTTTATCTGCTACCATATCAACACATGTTAATACATATTAAACAATATTACATTAACTATTGTGATGTACACAACTTTAGATTGCCCTTTTTTTAAATGTGCACGCATTGTACCTTGTTCAGGTAGCTTAGCATGTGTTTGATGGGTGGTCATCAAATCTTTGCGATATTTAGTAATTTCTTTCGTAGCTTTACATTCGTGCGTATTTTATAAATTTCAGATCCGCAATGAAAACCTGGGACCTGACATAGAGCTCTATCTTATTCAATAAGCATTGCAAATTGCATCCATTCCCAGCTTCTTTTCTTGCCTTTATTCGTACTGGCAGTACTCCCTGTTTGCTGGCTGACATAATCAGCGGAGACGACCGACTGTGCAGTTTCTGGTTGCATTAATTGTAAATTCTTTTTCATGAATTGATTTTTAAAAGTTAACTCATTTATGCAATACAACAAATACTGACTAAAAACAGTGAGAGACTGACAAAAGCCTCCCCAATTAGTAAAATGGTTGCGAGAATTGAGACACATTGCTCAATACACCACCCGAATTTAGCTAGACATATTATTACGTTGATTAAAATGGCAAATATATGGGAGAAAGAGATTAATAGGTTATTAGTCTGGGTCAGACCTCGTCCCGGTACCAGGACCAGCCGGGTCAAACACCAAGTCAACTCGATAAAACTGGTCCGGGTTGGAGCCCTAGGAGTAAGTACTGGATGCTGTTTTTCCACTTTGAACTGATGTCGGTAAAGAAAGACCAGTTGAGTATAAGAAACTATCGTGCTTGAGAGGTTTCAAGGTTCAAGTGCTATAACATGAAACGGTGTCACCTGATTGTTTGAATAGTGTGCGACGTGACACGTGGGACCACGACGGGACGATCGACAGATGGGACTGTGAGAGACGGAAGCCATGTGACAGGATGTCACATAGGACAGGAAGAGACGGACACCATGTGTGACTTGACATGGTCAAGTTGCCGTTGCCATTTCTGGTCATACCTATCGTATTGTTGAAGGAGGTAGTCCTTAACACTCAACATATTTTACTTTTACTTCCTACTTCTACTGCACAAGTGCATCTGCGTCTAGCAGGTTATGAGCCCAACTAAACGTGACGACGGTGCGGCTAAACGAGCTGCACACGTCGTGGTGGTCGACGACCAAGTCAAGAACGGCGACGACCATTTGGAAGAAAAGTCGGCAGCGCCATTGGCGGCGATAAACCAAATGCTGGTTATGCTCGGGGACCTCTCGGAAAGAATAAATCCTATCAAGGTCTTTCAGGGAGAGCGAACCAACAAACATTGGGAGGACTTACCCGAGTTGAGTGTCGCCAGTCGCTAGAGGGAGGTCGGGGCCGGGTTGAAACTCCGGACCCTGGAGCATACCCTTCCTAAGGATCCTTCGAATGTGTCGCCAGCCACCTACTTCGGCGTCCGACGACAACAACAGGCAGGTGTTGAGATACCCCCTGCAGGATAGTCAGGCCCGGCAGTCAACATGGGTCAGACACCCGACCCCGGCGTATACAGGGCGGGTTTGCCTGCGGGATACCAGCATGGCATAGGTATCCTCAACCAAGGATATGTGCACCCAGGGCATCCGAGAATCGACATGCCAGACGCACAGCAACGGAAACTCGCGTTGCAACCTTTCGATGGAAAGGAGCTCTACCACGGCCTTAATTGTGGATTCATGGAGTGGGGAAAGGAATTTGTTCGACAAGTCGGATTCGTGGAACGTGCATGTGGCTTTGTGTAGCCGGGGGACATCAAGGTTGATGTCCTAGGCCAGCATCTAGCTGGAAAAGCACAAACCTACTTTCGTCGTCAGGTGGAAACATGGTGGTTTGAGAGCCAAACTCTCGAGCACGCGATACAGAGGCTTTTACAGACCTTCACGACGAAGATCTCACTGGCACAGAGCATGAAGCTGTTCACGGCTCCCAAGGCATCTCATCGAAACTAGACGGACCATTTTCTATACTTGACGGCCGTCAGTGATGCCTGTGGGGGTGCAGATAGGCTTGTGCTTGACAACGTCGTTCACTACGCTGACCCACACATGCAAACGACGATGTTGTATAGATTGGACATTCATCGCACTGACTACCTGCGGCAAGCAGAAGAGTTGGCACAATTTTCTCAATCGACGGAGGTAGACACTCACTCGAAGAATTTTGGTCGCGACGTGGTGAACGCTGTCGAGCCTGAGAAGGAGTTGAAGGACAAGCCCAAACCAAGATCATCACCCCCACGGACCGATTCTTGGATTTGCTTCAAGTGTGGAGAAGTAAGACATATTCGGTCGCGGTGACCGCAATTGAAGAAGAAGTCTTCAGTTGCGAACGCTGTTTTCACAGTTGTTCATGGTCCAAATCGCTCGCCTGGTCAAGGGATTTTCGACAGTGGTTCGAGCAGACACTTGGTCAATGATCCGAGTCTGCTCACCGACCCTATTGATTGTTGAAGTGAGTGCATGAAGGCCGCCACAGATGGCAGCGTGCTGCGGATCACTTTGCAAGGGACCGTGGACATCCAAGTTGTTGCACTTGGAGTCGTGAACACAGTGAGACTCCTCAATGTTCAGTACGCGGAAAACCTCGAGTGTAACATCCTTTCATTCGGATTGCTTGAGGCCAAAGGTTGCGTGCTAGAATATCGAGGAGAGGGACGTGTGTTGTCCTCTGGTATAGGCGGAACGCCCATAATGGATGTGGAATATCACAACAACGTCTTGGTTGTCGCTGTGACGAAACGCAGCGATCTTAATTCCAAGCTACCACGAGAGACAACGATGACTGTCATTAATCCACCTGAACATGAATTTGTCTCGAACGTTCAGTGTGGTACCTTGATGGACTTTCATCGGCGCCTAGGACATCTTTGTTTCGACACGATTGTCAAGATGGCCAAAGACCCGAACTCTGGCGTACCATTGACAGATTTGAAACGTCAAAAGTGTCTGGCCTGTGCCAAGGAAAAGCAGACCAAGAGAGTTTAGTCGAAGAGAGACACGGGCATGAATTCACCTATCGACGTGATCCGAGGTGTCATTTGTTCGGATCTCAAGGGTCCCATGACCCCCCGAGATCGTTTGGGAAATCGGTAAATGATTCATTTCATTGACCACCGATCAAATTATTGTCGAGCGTTCTTGGCCAAAACGAAAGATGCAGCCGCGTTGAAGTTCAAGATGTTTATGGTGAGCTTCAAGCGCGAGTTCAATTGCAAGATTAATGTCTTTCGCACCGATGAAGGTGGCGAATATAAGACGCTTGACATTTTTTGCTCATCGGAAGGCATCTCACGTCAAGTAAGTGAGGTGAGGAATCAAGCGAGCAACGGCAAGGCTGAACGGATGCATCGCATTATCATGGACATGGTGCGGAGCATGATCTTTGCATCGAAACTACCACTCACGTTTTGGGGTGATGCTGCAGAGTACGCTTCGTACATACTGAACCGAAGTAAGACCAAGTCCAACCTTAAAGTTGCATCGCCCCTATAAATTCTGACGAATAAGGCTCCCGTACTGACAGACATCGTGATGTTTGGATCGACATGCACTGTACACAGAGACTTAACATACAAATCACTCGGTAAGCGAGGGAAGGCGGGCATCATCATTGGGCGAGGGAGCGAAACGAAGGGATACGAAGTGTACATCCCAGTGGATAAGGTGGTCGTGGTGACCCAACACGTCTAAAGCATTGAAGCACCACAGGATGATCAAGATGTAAGAGAGAGTTTTTCTGATTCGGTACAACGTCAGGAGGAGTCAGTACATGATCGTCGAGCGGGTGCACGAGATCGTGAAAATGGTGTGAAGGGCGGAAAGAAGGGTCGAAAGCAGACATGGACCAGATAGCGTCAAGGCACAAGGTCCACAACATTGAGTCAAACAAAAATGGCCAAAGCCTATGTTTGGTTGACAGTTGCGATGTGGTGAATGCAGTCATCGAGCAAGATCCGAAACACTGTGGTGTGGCAATGAAGAGTAAACATCACAACCAATGTCAAGTGGCCATGACCGAAGAACTGGACGCACTCAAGGCAAATGACTTCTGGGAGATCGTTGTGCCACCAGAAATGCACACGTTCTACACAACAAATGGGTCTACAAGACAAAGACCGACGCGAACGGAAACATCGAGCGGTACAAAGCTCGTTTGGTGGTTTGTGGAAACGAACAAGTGTTCGGAGTGGACTACCCACCACGTTCGCAGCGGTCATGGACTCGGGAACGGTAAAGCTGATCCTGGTGCTTCCGAGACGCTGGAAGGTACCGGCGCGCCACGGTGATGTACCCAATGCGTACGTCAAGGCTGAATAGGAGGAGCACCTGGACATCTACATGAAGATGCCGAAGGGGATGACAGTGGAGGAAAAAGAGATGGAGGACCTGAACGCAAAGACAACAGATGATCTAGCGTTGCTGTTGAAGAAGTCCTTAAAGGGACTCAAACAGGCTGGGCAGCTGTGGAGCAAACTACTTGACTCCAAGCTACGACAAAGCGGGTATCAGCAATGTACCAAGGACATGTGCCTATATTTTAAGTATAAGGGCAAGAAATTCACGGTGGTTGGCGTCTACGTGGACGATCTGTTGATCACGGGCACCGAACAGAGCGCTGTGGACGACTTCTTTAAAGACATGACCTCACTATCGATCAAGGATTTGGGGATTGTAAACAAGTTCTCGGGCTACGAATTGAGCATGACAACTCGAACGGCTATGTTTTGGGATCAAGAACCGACTATCGACTTGCTGTTGAGGGACTTCGGGATGGAGTCGTGCAATGGTATTGGCACCCCTATCGAAGACGAGTGCAACATGGACGACGAAGAGGACGCTGAGTACCTACCAGCAAGAGGAGCGAAGGGTGGCCCCAGTGTGAAGTCCTTTCAGTCACTGGTGGGAAGCCTACTATGGATTGCAAGATGCACACGCCCAGACATTATTTTTGCAGTGCATAAGACAACAAGACAGACTCACAAGCCGACACTAAAGGATTGGAAGACCGCGAAGCGCATCATGCGATACCTAAAGATGTCTAAGAATTTGAAGCTGCACCTGGATGGTGCTGGACATGTGTCAGAGGATGTGCGGGTCGAATGCTGGAGCGATGCCGATTTTGCTGCGAGCAAGGCCGACCGTAAGTCAATATCAGGGTGTGTACTTACTGTGGATGGTGTAGTGGTTCTGTGGCTGTGCAAGAAGCAATCGGGTGTATCGCTGAGCACGATGAAGGCTGAGTTTATCTCAGCGTCGCAAGCTGGTCGAGAGCTGCTTGGCATGAAAGAACTACTGAGCGAATTGAAGCTACGCGTACTTGAGCCCATGCCGATGTGGATTTACAACCAAGCGTCGATCAAGAAACTTGAGTCAGAGAAGAGCTTCTCGAGCGCCAAGCACGTGGACATACGTCACAAATTTATATGCCATCACGCACAGAAAGGGACTGTGGTGCCAAGGTTTGTGCGATCTAAGGATTTGCTAGCAGTGTAACGGGGCACCCTGAAGCTTGTACTGGTGACAGTACAAGCTACTTATTCTGATGACAGAATAAGGCGGTGCCTCGTAACTTCACGTACACTCGTACGTGCAGAGGAAGACGGTAAGAAGAAGCGAGTACTCGGTTAGAGTAAAAAGTAGAACTGTATTTATAATAGTTAATGTCTGCAATAAATCACTATTTATCTTCATCTAACTATGTCTAAATACAAATGTGTAAATCAGTTATCTGCTCACCACTCATTGCGTGCGTCTGTCGTGGCGCGTCTTCGTTGGTTGATATAATGGCCTATATCAACCAATTAGGAACTACTTGGAAGTGCTACAGAATATTGTCCTTATGACAATATTCTGAGAATATAACTCTTATAGTTATATTCTATTAACAATTTCTTATAAATTGTTATGTAACGATTCACCCCGTTACATCACCCCCCCCCTTAACCATCAGTCACCTTAGTGACTGATTGACTAAATGGATACTCGTCCCAAATCATTTGGGACGGGGTTTGCACTTGTTGGTCCGCGTCCACTTTCCAACATCTCATCGCATGGTAAACAAGCCCATGCGATGCGCGAGCAAGGCCGCCGAGAGCGCGTCTGCACGTCTCTGTGCGGACGCCGAAGCAGAAACTACAGCAACTGATATCCCATCGGTTGCTGAATCGACTCAGCCTGTATCACCTGGTGATGCAGGCGCTGGTCATGAAGACACTCGTGTCTTCACAGAGTACGAGCTCGGTGTCTCGTACTCTCCTGATACGGATGACGGATCCGTATCGACGGCAATTGAATCCAAGCCGCCTGCCAAGCGTGGCATGGACGATGCTTTGCGTCGCAGCATCTTTGGTTCATCTGATGAGTCAGATGAACCATCGCCGAAGCGAAGGCGCTCGAGGTCGCGAGACTCGGGCGCTAATAGTGGTGTCGTTTCTCCAATGGACACCACTTCACAGCGAGGTGCCAGTACTTCTGTCGGCACATCGCAGGAAGAGCGGGACCGCAATGTGTTGCGTCTCGCTCCTGAGAAGAAGGCATGGATGCCTCCAAAATCCGTCATGGATCACTTGTCGGCGACGACGAGTGATCGTTATCGAACACGATTGTTCGATTCGTCAAGGATCCATCACCTTGACCCCAGTGCGAAAAACTATCGCGCTGAGAATAAATTCTTCATCGATGCTTTCTTCAAACATCGATGGTACAGTGGGAATCACAAACGTGATGGTCCCTCACTGCTTCAAGCGTGGAACGCCTACATCCATAATCTCGAGGATGTAGGTCGTGACGCTTGAAACGACAAACTTATCAAAGCTCGTGATAAGTTTGAAAAGCGAACCCCAACAGGTGCACGCTATAAGCTGCATCGTCTGTCAAGGGAGAAAGGATTACCCTGCCTCTCTTGGGGAGACTCGTGCCCATGTTGTGTGAACAACTCTGCACGAGCACCTAAGGAGGCTTACCTCCTTACCAGCCCGTGGTGGCGCGTACGTATCTCTACTGAGATGTACGAAGGGATTGACAACCTGAAATCCCTTTACGACCGTGCCGGGAAGACTTTCTCCGGCGGTCCTTCTGCGGCACAGGATTTGCCGCATCGTACTGCTCAACCAGACCCAGTACGTCAATCATCAGTTGGGAGCGGGGCTCCCAAGAATCCCAGGACGGGGGATAGCCGCGCCACCGGACGAGATAACTCGTCCGACGTCCGTTCACGTCGCGGTGGTTCAACAGCTGCTCAACTAGATAGCGCTGGCCACCGCGAGAGTCCTCTAATGGAGGTGGAGGAGGAGGAAAGACGCTCTCCACACGATCATGTGGATCGGTGTGTTCCCGAGAGCTTCTTTGATCGCGTAACGCAAGGGTTACGCGACAATCTCGAGCATGAGCGGAATAGGCGTCTCCAAATGGCGGACACTGCCTTGAAGCATCGAGCTGAGTTTGCCTTTGCTCAGCTCGAGAACGAGAGATCTCTGACATCTCTTCGTGACGAGCTAAGGGTAGCTCGTGGGATTGTTGATCGGTCTCGGGCTGAGATAACTGCTCTTCAGACCCTTGTTGATGCCCACCATCGGGAGCACAAGGCTCTCTGCGAGATGCTTGAGCGCAAGGTCGTTCTTCATCGGAAGAAGCAGCGTACTGATGGTACGGCTTAAGCCGACCAACGTAAAACGTGGGATGCGTTCGCATCTTACGTGGTAACTCGATCGTGTATGCATTGCCTAGGTGGTGCAATACACGAAAAGGGCCGATGTACTTGGGTAGTAGTTTACTGCTACCCAAGTTAGTCACTACATGCTTTGGTAGATTAACTGTAGACAGTAGGACTAAGTCACCTTTATTAAATAAAAGAGTGTTTGCCCTTCCATTCTTGTCAGCGTTTTGCTTTTGCTTATCCACCGCTTCGGCGATGGAGTCTTGCACAAAACGGACTACCGTTTCACGAGCCAGTATGAACTCATCTGATGACTCGTTAGCTTCAGTGCGCTGTGAGAGCACTGCAGCAACATCAACCTTTTCTTCAGTGAGGGCTTCCGCACTCTCACTGGCATCATCTTCTTCGATATCGATGTTATCGATATCGGCATCAAACGCAATGACCTCTTCGTCAGAGCGTGATGAGCGTGAACCAAATCGGTTTTTGCTCGCGCGAGTCCCTCCCCCCCTTAAACCAGAGTTACACTCTAGTAAGGTGGGTACATACGGATGGCGCAAGCCATTCACGTAAAACGGTGTATGTGTCGTGGACGCATGCACCGAGTTGTTAATGGCAAACTCTACCATTGGCAAAAACTCACTCCAACTCTTAATAGGAGTGTATGTATCCTCGAATTTTCTCTTCAAGGACACGATTGGCACGTTCCGTCTGACCATCTGACTCTGGATGATCAGATGTAGACATCTTCAAGCGCGTTCCGAGTGATTTGAACACGGAACGCCAGAAATTAGCAGTGAATCGTGGATCTCTGTCTGATACGAGTTCACGGGGCAGCACATGAAGTCGGAAGATGGTGTCAATAAAGACACAAGCACAGCCACTTGCCGTGATTGTCTCTGGTACAGCCACAAGGTGTACCATTTTGCTGAATCTGTCAACAAATACGAGAATACCCGTATTCCCGCGTGCGTCTTTGGGTAACCCGAAGACGAAATCCATTGAGATGGATTCCCAGCACTCAGCCGGAACCGGTAGAGGCTGTAAAGGTGCACGCAGTGAAGGACTTGACTTCACTCGTTGGCAGACTTCGCATGCGCGAACATACTTTCGCACAAACTGATACTGGCGGGGCCAGTAAAAGTCTCGACTTACCGTGAGATATGTTTTCTCTCGGCCACGATGTCCTCCTATAGGAGGACATCGTGATACTCGAACATGATCCGCAAACGCAGCTCAGTATCATCTGGAATGACAACACGTGGTGTGTCACCAGAAACGGCTGTATAATACAGTAACCCGTTACGAGTAGTGTATCGATCTGATGCAGATCGATACGCAGGCGACAATTGTTTCAACGATTCTCGAGATGGTTGGGAGAGATGTGTCAACAACTTCACAATCTCACCATCTTGGGCGTATGCCCGCCTCACATCATCCTACAACGTTGTAGATGGGACTGAGGACGTCATAACCGCAACAGTGACTGTCTCACTGTTGGGTTTCGCGACTGTTTCAAAGTCGGGACGACGTGAGAGTGCATCAGCAACGACATTAAGTCGTCCTGGTTTGTACTCGACCGTAAAGTTGTATTCAGCAAAGAATGACAACCACCGCGCCATTCGTTGTGAAAGGTGCGGGCTGTTCACTGCCGTGCATAATGACGCATGGTCAGTGTAAACAACGAAGGGTCTATCTCCTAATAGATAGACTCTGAACTTCGCGAGTGCATACTTCATGGCAAGGAGTTTCTTGTCATGCACTGGATAGTTCCGCTCAGCTGGTTGCAGCTGACGCGACTGATAGCAGACGACGCGTTCAACGCCTTCAAGATCGTACTGCATTAATGCACAGCCGATTGTGAAATCGCTGCCATCACAGACCACATGAAATGGCCTGTCCTGATCGGCTATTGCTAGGACTGGGGATTGTATCAAGCTCTGCTTGATACCCTCAAAGGAGCGTTGACATTCAGCGTTCCATAACCACCTCTCGTTCTTTTTCAACAAACGAGAGAGGTGCACAGTCATCTCGGCGTAATTGCGTGAATACTTATGCAAATACGCCGCTAGCCCAAGGAATTTTCGAAGACCTTTGACATCAACCGGCACAGGCCAGTCGGTGATCGCCTTGATCGTTTCGGGATCAGGACGTACACCGTTCTTACCAACGATGCACCCAAGAAGTGGTATTTCGCTTGCTGCAAATATACACTTCTTGAGGTTAGCATACAGTTGATGCTTTCGCATGATTGTAAGAACTTGTCGGACGTGGTACCTGTGAGCCTCAACGTCCGACTTTCCATCCATAATTCGACTATGGATGAATACGTCATTGAAGTAACTTGGCGCGAATTATCGTACTGGTCTCAACAGATGTGATACACATCTGTTGAACGTGGCAGGGGCATTACTGAGCCCTTGTGGCATTACTAGCCATTCCCAGAGCATGCCGCTAGGCGTGCTAACTGCGGTATAGGGTATATCCCGTTCCCGCATAAGGATTTGATAGAAGCCATACATCAAATCCATGGACGAAAAGATGGTACTCTTTGACATACCATCAATGATTACGTCCTTCCTCGGTGTCGGCGTCTGAGCCGGTACCGTTGCAGCATTCAACTTGTTAAATGCATGCACTATCCGCCACCCTCCTGTTGCTTTTCGCACACAGAAGGTCGGAGAGCTATGTGGGGAAGTTGATTCCCTCACATGGCCTGCAGCTATACGATCGGCAAAGAACTTGTCGATCGCAAGTACTTGTTCACGAGGCAGTGGCCACTGCTTCATGACACAGTACTTCGAGCCTGTTTTAAGCTCGACCTCGTGTCGAATACCTTTATCCTTCGGTAACTCGCACGGAACAGTTTCAGGGAATACATCCTTGAATTCAACCAAATCTTCATAGAGAGGATTTTTCTTGAGCGATTCCCACGATTGGGAGTCATATCGCTCAATTCGTGTCTTCTCATCTAGGACACTCTCGTCCACAGATGAACTACTGAGAACTCTCTCGTTCTCAGTAAACACTGTTGCTGACCTTATGTCGGTTACACACTCGTCGTCAGCGACGAGTATGCAGATCTGCTTGACTTTGCCACTACGCAGATCACGCAAGAACCTTTTATGTTCGAGCGTTGGCAACTGAGTGATCTCCGAAGTTAACTTCGGAGGCGCAATCAGATCAAGTGTATAAGCGCCTACACTTGATCCGTTATTGACTATGACATTCAACGTCTCTGTAATTTCCTGGGGACTCATTCCCTCAGGCTTCGAAGGCCTTATTCCTTCGGCTTCCCGGGGACTTATTCCCGCGGGTTTCGGGGAACTTATTTCCGCCGTATTTGTAATCTTGGGACTTATTCCCTTTACTTCATCTAGCTGGGGTTGCGCAACCACAGCGAGATCCTCTACGAAAGACTCTCCAGTCGATCTAGGATTATCGTTTCGCTTAACCTGAGCGATCGATTGTTTCTCTTCTAGATGTTCCCCGCTAGGGATACATCTTTGTCCCAGTCCTACCGACTTATTCGAGTGGTGGACCTTCGGCGCAGCCTGTGTTTCCTCACAGCCGCCGGAACTTTGCTCCGAAGTGTAACCGTTTGGTACACTAAGGTTTTGTGCAGTCGTACTAACGACCATACCACAAGTGAGGCCATCGCACTCACTCGTAGTACATCCACACGCTTGTGGAAGCTCCAAAACGTTCATCAGATGGCCATCTGATGAACAAGCGGCAGGCATCGTTACTGTCCGATGTTGCCAGTTTACCCGTGGTTCGTACCTTCTGAGCCACGGTATTCCAAGGATGACATCAAATTTGTCATCCAAATCCAATACGATAAAGTCATCGTCATATTGGGTATCTTCTAGCGTATAGTGGATCTTCACTATACGCTTCATGACGGTTACGGATGCGCCTGTCGCAAGACGTACCGTCATCCTCGTAGGAGGTGTGTCACATTCACTGAACTTAAAGTGACCATCTTCTAGCGATTGGCGTCGCACAAAATTGTTGGACGCCCCACAATCGACTAGAGCTCGAAGGGACAACTTATTCGTCACTTAGAGTTTCAAGGTAATGAGTGAGACCTCATTACCTAGAGCAGCAACGCACAACGTTTGTGTGTTGGGAGCAACCTTCATCAAGAGGCCTACAAATTCTCTCGACGTTGCTAGACCAGTAGGGTGCTCCGCGCCTACTGATCCTGTCCGTTTTTTGACGGTCCATCCCGTTGTTGCGTCTTTGCACCAACTGCGGACCCTCGTCCCTGCCCCTTTCTCATGGGTGGACGGTCACTACGCCCAGTGTCGCGAGACACTGGACGAGGGGCACTACACTCGTAAGCGTAGTGTCCTGTCTTTTGACATCTGTTGCATCTCTGCAACTTCTTGTAGCCTGTAGAGCGAGCCTTCTCGCTCTCTACATAACAGAGTTCCATCGGCTCTGGACCTCCGTTGTCATATCGTCTCGGTTGACGATATGATGTCGAGCTGGCGCGAGCCTGTCTCAGACTGAAGTCTTCCTGCTCCGCAATGGAAATGGCTTGTTCTAGTGAATCTAGTTCAAGCCGGAACAGGTGAGTCTTGACGGGACCATCCGCAAGACCCTGCATGAACACCGAAACCAACGTGTGTTCATCCACCGGATTGGAACTTATACAACTCGTAAGATGTCGTATATGTTGCGCGTAAGCGTGCACATCACGCTTACCCTGCTTGAGCTTCAAGAGTTCGGTTCGAGCCCTGAACTCAGCTCTAGGCGGTTCAAACGTTTGTCTGAGCCGCGACTTGAAGACTTCCAACGACCCAAACGCATATGGGTCGTGCAACTTGAGCCCCAGTGCCCAAGTCTTGGCACGTCCTGCCAGATTTGACTGGGCAAATGCAACTTGCATATCCCCGTCGTCGATGCGACGCGCCCTTATGGCGTCATCCAATTCGACGAACCATCTCAAGAGGGAGTCCTCTTCGACTCCCCTATACTTGGAGATGTCAATCTTCAAAGTCTCGGGTCGACGCGAGTGCATCGACCCACCAGCAGCAGCCTGCTGCTGTCTCAACAGTTCAAACTGTTGAGCACCTTGTTCTCTCAACAACTCTGCTTGTTGAGAACCTTGTTGGTGAAGCAAGGCTACTTTCTCGCGTTCAGCGTCAAGTTCATTTTGAATGAACTTGGCGATAGTAGCATGTTGGGCATCTCTATTGAGAGCCTCTAGCATGACGCTAACAGCATGGATGCCCATGGTCGAACCCATTCGTTCAACCGCATCCCATTCGACATTGCTCAAATGGGAGTAGTCGTCACACGTAGCGTGAAAGCTTTGGTCATCTTCATCATCCAACATATTCATGTTGGATGTGAACGCGGTCCTTGGACGGACTACGAAGTGCTACCAGGTGTAACGGGGCACCCTGAAGCTTGTACTGGTGACAGTACAAGCTACTTATTCTGATGACAGAATAAGGCGGTGCCTCGGAACTTCACGTACACTCGTACGTGCAGAGGAAGACGGTAAGAAGAAGCGAGTACTCGGTTAAAGTAAAAAGTAGAACTGTATTTATAATAGATAATGTCTGCAATAAATCACTATTTATCTTCATCTAACTATGTCTAAATACAAATGTGTAAATCAGTTATCTGCTCACCACTCATTGCGTGCGTCTGTCGTGGCGCGTCTTCGTTGGTTGATATAATGGCCTATATCAACCAATTAGGATTTACTCGTAAGTGCTACAGAATATTTGTCCTTATGACAATATTCTGAGAATATAACTCTTATAGTTATATTCTATTAACAGTTTCTTATAAATTGTTATGTAACGATTCAACCCGTTACAAGCAGCCATACTGACGAAGTCGTTGCCGGCACCAAGGATGGAGAACTTAAGGTCCATGCTCAAGTTGGAGGCCACACAGGCTAACACCGAGGAGGAGTGTTTGAAACTATCGTGTTTGACAGGTTTCAAGGTTCAAGTGCTATACCATGGAACGGTGTCACCTGATTGTTTGAATAGTGTGCGACGTGACACGTGGGACCACGACGGGACGATCGACAGATGGGACTGTGAGAGACGGAAGCCATGTGACAGGATGTCACATAGGACAGGAAGAGACGGACACCATGTGTGACTTGACATGGTCAAGTTGCCGTTGCCATTTCTGGTCATACATATCGTAGTGTTGAAGGAGGTAGTTCTTAACACTCAATATATTTTACTTTTACTTCCTACTTCTACTGCACAAGTACACCTGCGTCTAACATCGAGTCTATTGTGTCACTTCCTTCTTTTGCGTCTCCAACATGGCGATGGAGGGGTACCTCCTTCTCCATGTATTCTATGGTGTATTAGAAATAGCAATTCCCTAATTTTAAACTTGTTGAGTATGATACTGGTTTTAAAACTTTTGCACTAATGTGGGACCGGTAATGACATTTGCTCTTTGGCATCACGTTGGGTTTAATTTCTAGGAGTATCACCCATTGGATCTGCACTCCAATCAAGACATGCAATTATGAAAAAAAACAAATTTTGCATTTCGATGCTTTGCAATTCTCATTCAGTGACGTTCTACTCATCGCCCGATAAATAAGATGTGGCCCGTCAAACCAACAGACGCATTCTCGTTTGAGTAACTACGCAAATTTTTAACATCTGGAGACGAGCCATCATTTTCATTATCTTCATGAGCGATAAGACTTGATTCGCCGACGGGCACCATCAAACCATCTCACCACTTGCGCTCGTAGCATCTTCATCAACTCATTCAAAACCTTTGGAACAGGAGACCACGACCACTTGGCACTTTCCGTCTTTTTCTCTTCCGTTTTCACAATGGTGTTCCACAGATAACCAGCAGAAGCAAAGGCCACGGCGACGTAAAAGAGGACCGATCTATATAAAGTCGGCTGCTTGACGCTTGTCTGTCGATTGCTGCATTTTTCCCCGACGTCCATCGGAACAGATGTGCTCTTCGGATGTAACCGGTGGTCGTCAGTCCTACCGACGTGTCGATTTTTGTTTACAAAGTTGGTGACTGCGTTTGTGGCGTCCATCTCGCGACCGTTTTCTGTCACCTCCCGCTTGTCTCCGTACCATATCGAACGCACTGGCCTCACTGAGCTCTTCATCGACAGCGATACCTGCATTGGATCCAGACGCCCTTTCGTCTCCAGGATCTTTTGTTCCTGATGCGCGTAGTACTGCAGCGCATCCCGCATGACTTGCGAGTGCTCTTCAGCTTGTACCTTTGCCTCCTCCACAAAGCTCCTGTTGGAAAAATTATATAGCATCTCCGTCCTCGCAAAAGCTTTTGCATGCACTTCTTGAGAGCGCTGGAGAAAGTTGTCGGCTGTCGTTGTAAGTTCCACGGTGCCTCGCAAAAGGAGCGAGATACTCCTCTCCAGTTGATCAAACTGCTCTCCGACCTGCGATGTGCTGCTCCTTCGGGTCCCCGAGGGAAAAGGGAGTACGTCAAAGTCTGTAAAGAACAACACGATGGCCAATATACCGCCTAAAATGAACCGCAGCAGGTTCAAGGACGCACAAAAACTGAACTTTCGCTCTGTCTCGTGCTCGCTAGACGGTTTCCCTGCGGCTCTTGGCAGTGTTGGTGCTTCGGTGAGATTCAAGAGTGGGCGAAGGTGCGTCAGCCTGCCTATTGGCTCCGTTCCATCCACCGACGCGGTCGAGCGCATGCTCTCCGACAGTCCGAGTCGAGTCATCGATCGTTCTTTTAGTATCGATTGACTTTGAAAACCACTTGTGATGACATGGCAACCGTCCGGTTTTTGACAACACTTGAAATGGAAAAGTCAGAGTTGTGAATCAGATAATTATATCAGTTGACAAACGTTGCCCCAATAGCAATATTTACGTTTGGTCAAACAGCTTCCAGCATGCAGATTTGTTACTTGCTCGTAAAGCACCAGCCTTCATCGTTGTGTCAGCGTTGAGTACGACTCGTATAGTCTTGACGGCATGAATTACGTGTAATGAATGCTTGCCACCCTTACATATCTAAAACCATGCGATCACGCGCCATACTTTACTACATAGGGCTCACACGCACCTCTCCGCTTCAGAATGGTTCCGTGCATACGCTTGTGCAGAATGAGTGACCACAATAAAGGACCTCCGGTTGATGGCGCGAATGACAAAGCTTGAGCTGGTTGTGGATAATGCCAATGGCGTCCATTTCTTCTTACTCGCTAGCTTTAGTTCGTGAAGCTGGCAGATGCTTTTCGATATAAACAAGGAGGCGAACAGGTGTAGCTGCCGACTGTATCGCTCGAACTGGAAGAATCTCCTTTTCCTTCATCTGATTGTTGTACCAAAATGAATCCGCGGGCAACCACGAGCGACTGACGTTGTCATCATTGATGACAGTTTCTCGATTGCCCGCGTCTTCAACTGTCTGCACCAAGATCCGGAACGTGTGTGGCTTAAGGCGATCCGTCTGGTCAGCTATTTTAGATACTGAAGTCGCCACCAGCGCCACCATCCCCGCACGAAACGACTCTTCGAGCTGAAGCAATGGTAGCGGCCGATCTTTGTCCAAGTCTTCCACCTCAGAGAACGATGTCGTCCATCCTGGCTCAAGTGCTAACGTCTCCAGTGGCAGGCCTCGCTCGGAGACAAGGACGACACAAAACTTCTCCAATTCTCCTTTACTCAGCCACGTGCGGCATCCACTCAACATGGAGTGAATGTAATGACACAGTAGAGGATGCCGAATCATATGGATTGGCACACCATACATTACACGCTGCTCAAAAGCTTCTAAGATGGCAAGAATACGATGAGGAATGTGTTAGGAGAGAAAAATTACGACGTTTGCGTTGCGTTGTTCGTACCTTTCGGATAAACATGCCATGCGAACCTGAATCGCCATCCAAGAATAAGATTTGACCTGTGCACGCCCCATGTGATAATTGAACTGACGTCACAACGTACAGAAATTCATGCACGGCAGCCTCAAGGAACTCGAGCACGAGGTCCGTCAGAGTACCTCTCATGTTTGTCAGATTGGTCTCCATTGTCAATTTCTATTTCTATGCGAAGTCTCGTTTTCGTATCTAACGAAATCCGCAGAAAGTTTCAGTTCTCATAACTAGTTCCACAAAACATTTGACCAATTACGACAATGTGGCGTAACTTGGCGTACGGATCCCAGCAAGTGGCCGACGCCGTGCCTGCTGTGGCCCCTACTAAGTCAGTAAAAGAGACGGTAATCTCTCAAGGTCCGTCTGAAGTCTCTACTTTTACACAACGGTATGATTGTGGGAATGGATACCGACAGATCTGTGGTCGTGGTTGTGGGTCGCTCTCCTTCTGGCAGTGGACGCATCCCTTGTACCCAAGAATGACGGTGCCAAGGTCTACAAGATTCTGGAGTATCTGCGCAAAGTTCCCATGCACAAAGCCGTATCCGTGGTCGATGTCTTTAAGCACACGGGTGTCGTACGTAAAAGAGCATGACTGGAAGCTGAAAAGTAGAAACGTTTTTGGGGTGACGATGCGACGGCTCTTTGGATGGTGGTGGCATTAGGACCTTTCTATGGACGATCAGGTGGAGCAGCGGCTTAAGAACAACCCAAAAGTCCGTCTCCAAGGAGACCAGTACGCGTACCAGGTGAGTGAGCAACAAGCTGACGAAGAGCTCTTCGCTGGTACGCTGAAGAATTGTTACTTTTTGCGTGCTTTTTATCTATAGGCTAAATATGATATCAAAGATCGGATGCAGCTGCTGAAAATTCTTGATCGAGTAGGGCTGCTGTATTGAGGTGTTATTGTAGTTTGTGATGATTGATGATCGGGTTTAATTTTCTGCACACGCCTTGGTAGATTCCCGAGGGGATGCCTATTGAAGACTTGATCGATTGTTATGTTGGCGTAGAAGAAGATTTGAAAGAGTTGACGCGTACAGGAGAGACCATTTGCGTGAAGAACGCTGACAAAGGCGCAGAAGTGTACTACTCGCGTGGACAAACGTTCCTTGTGGACCTTTCTGGAGTCGTTACGGTCGAAGCTGGTAGTTATTTGACCCACTCCAGTCAAGACACCACGGAAGAAATTCGTCGTGGCGATGCGTTTCGTGTTGGTGATAATTGGTTTCGCGTGTCTGCAGCAGTCAGGGTGCGGTCTTAAGTACTCGGTCGCCTGCACGATCGTTCTCACAGCAACTGTATGACTGGCAAATGTAGAGCTCGAGCACCACCCGCCCAGCCCCATTTGCAGGAATGGTCACCAAAAGCGTTTCATCCACGCGGGATCTCAATATCTCGAAGAAGATCAAGTGCGTCTACCGTGGGCACATCATTGACCTCTTTTTACATGCTCGACGCAGACACTTAACGTCAATCTTTGTGCTGCTACGATTCTGCAGGTATATGTTCAAGTTTGATAAGGACCATCTTCCTTTGGATGTCCCATTCCCCGATGCAAAGAGGCGGAATGTAGCCAGCAGTGATCGCTGGGACCTTTTGCCTAAACGAGGTCCCAAATTTCAAATGGTGAAACATGGTACGGAATGCAAAACATTATCTTACGTGCGTCAAAGATTTAACTTGTATTGCGCATGTCCAACAGGTGCCACAAACGACATCCGCCAGTTATGGCGTGATACTCTGCGATCGTGGCCATCAGATCGTGCCGAGTTCGAAAAGAAGCTGGTTCAAGCTGGGCTAACAACGCAGTCAAAGGTTGATGCTAACCGCCGTCAAATGAAGCGTCGTCTGAAGGAGGATAAGAAGAAGAATCGGCCTCGAAAGCAGCGAGACATCAAAATCACGAACCACCATCTTATTGGCACGAAACTTGGCGAGATTTTGTCAAAGGGTAGCCAAGATCAGTTTAGTCTTGGTGCTGCTAGGTTTGACAAGACGTAGACGACGTCCACTCTAGTTGATGGAATAGCCCGAGCTGTTGACCAACCTCACGGGTGCATCTACGAAACTTTGGTATTCATACAGGCTTTTATCAACAAAAATAATTGTGGCAAAACTCGCAATGTCTTAAAGCTGTAGAACTCCCTTTTGTTTAAAGTATACCATGCCCGTGGTAGTGATGACCCCAAAAGCTACAACGCATGATATCGCAACTCCCCAAAACCACCCCCATGCTTCCTCCACCCCTGACGATAGATTCATGCCGAAAACACCGGCAAGTAGTGTACCTGCCGATAAACTAATCGTCACAAGCGAAAACACAAGATCTGCTCGAAGCAAGTAGTTTCGCATCGAGTCAAGCTTCAGCATCACCAAACTCTCAGTGTTCGTGATGCGGTGTTGCATTAGATCTGCCTGCGTGCGCGTGGAAAAAATGTCTTGAAGGTAATTCTCGATTAGAACTTCAGCTTCCTCCGAGTCAAAACTGTACAGATCCGTAAGAAGAGAGGGGTCTTCGTAAAGCTTGGTCAGGTACAACAACCGAAGGTCCTCTTCGTTGTCCAGCAACTCCATCAGCACGCGACGTACGCCATCTACTTGTGACTCAAACTCGTTCATAGTGTTCTTAAACTCGCGAAGCGTCTCCAGTTCGCGTGAGTGGAGATTTCCTTGCACAAGCCGGTCCAAAGCCGAGACCACGACTGGAGAGAGCTTCTCGTAGTCTGCTTGAAAGTAACGTGCAAGTGTTGCAAGCAACGCTTCCAGGGCCCTTCAATACACCGATGAGTCAAATCCTTGGTACCAATAAACTTTTTTTCCGGTCTGCACGAACCTGAACTCATACGGATCTTCTGCATTCTCCCGGGCAGCTTGGCCAAATTTCTCCTTCAAAATAGACAACAAACTATCCGCTCCATCAGGGACATAAACGAGACAAACGTCTCGCATCACGATCGCCCGCAACGGATCTAAACGTCACAGTCACGATCAGTTCTACCATCGACGCCAACCCTTTTCCAATCATTTTTGTCGTACCAGCGCTGATGAGAATCGCTTGCTTTCGGATGATGATTGACGGCTCGTTCGATACTGAAAATGCATTCTCCATTCGTCGAATATCTCGCGCGTGAACTCGCTGTACTTACATCACATAAAAGCGTCACGACAAGCCCTCTCCCATCGCCACGTCTGCATCTCCTATGTTACCTCCATCGGCTCACCTGTACGTCGCAGACGGTGGCGTAATTAAGTTCCGCCCCTCCGGAATCCCCATACATTCCATTAATACTGCCTCGTCTTCCCTTAGCGCCCGGAATTCCCAGTCGCCGCATCGGCGCTGTGGCAACGTCCAGAGATTCGACAGTGCCATCCGGCTCCTCTTTTTCCACGGCTGCTTGTCGCGTCATCCTCAGCACATCCAGTCGGCTCATTTCTTTGAACTCCGAGTCTCCATCACGGTCAAAAAGCAGCACCAACACGCGCCCGTTCTTCGAGCCGGGGTCGAACTGGCACGCAAAGCGCTTGAGCGAGCTAGTGCCTGGCGAGCTGGTGGAGCTCATCTCCGTCGAGTCTTTCGTGCTCTTGTTGACGCGGCGGTAGCTTGTCGCGGGACTTTGTACGTCGATTGTATGGGGCTCCATGGCGCTGCTACTAAAAGACGCCCGGAACGTTGACAAGCGCGATGCTTTTTCGGCATACGCGGTCTTGTCTCATCGTGGTTGGTCTGAAATTGAAATTTTGACACCTCTCAAAGTTGTTCATGTATTTCGTTTATCAGGACAGGTAAAGCTCGATATTATTGGATTAAATTTCTCGATGGTGTCCTGTCGACAGAAAAGGGGCATCTAGAACAAAAATGTTAGTCGTGTATGACCACGCAACCGTACGAAAATGGTTAAGGGGAGAAAGTACCGTGAGCGCTGAAACCATCTCGATCTTTCATGTAAAATTAGAATCAAGTCAGCGGGTAGCTCTAGATACACCAACATTTTATTACTCAAAGACAAATAGGTTTATTTAAGAAATAAATGCTGGTAAATTAGATTTGATTTATTGGCCAATCATTCTACCTGGATAAAGTATTGAAATTAATGCTGAGAGAGCAAACATAATTGAACAAGAGAACGTCCACTATACTGAATAGTCGATGCGGTAAAATCCTTAAAATTTATCGCACTTAGCAAAATCACGACCTTCTATTGTGCTACGGAATCTTTTCTAAGACTTGCCCAACGGCGACAAAGCAAGATCAAGCTAATACCGTGGCGGTGAAGCTTGGACTGGAACGGGTGGACGTAAATCGTCGGGTGTAGCACAGGTGGAGTCGTAACATCAATGCGTGACTGTGTACTTTGAGCTGGAATGGATTGACGCGAAATTGTTGTGTGTTGCACAGGTTGAGTCAGGTGCATCGGCGCAATTAAGCGTTGAGCATGCGATGGCTGCAGCATCGCAAATAGATGAGAACTAAATGGACGGAAGACTTGCGGGTAAGTCGACTTCAATGAGCGCTTCAAAATGGACGGCAGGCTCGATGAAGACACGCAAGAGACAGAGAGGCGTCTGTCGTGGTCGAATTTATGGTAGTGGCTACACTTCTTGACACCAAGTTGACTCTCCACGTGTTCGAAGCCCGAAAGCAGACGCTTTGTCGTTTTTTGGTGCGCCAAATTGCGACCTTGCGTCTTTGAGAACGAAAGGTAGCAAAATGCCGAAGGTATAACGATCTAAGTAGTTAATAGTGTCCAATTTCCGTTGCTTGTTAAATGATTTAACTCAAATGTACTTCTTTGTGTCAACGTGACAGCAAATGATGTGTGTCACAGGTAATTCCAAGGACCCTCAGGTAATATCCGGTGCATCCTCTGAGTTTGCACGGTCGGGCGACAAGGTACTGATCTTCAGTAGCACTAGAGTTTGGCGAGATATCTTGCGATGTTACCATATAAAACAATCATCTAGAAGGCTCGTCAGCATATCGATTCTTTCCTTTGTCATAGTTTTGCTCATATTTCTGTGACAATATTCCCTACCTTGCGTAATTCGTTCGTACACGTCCAGGAGGGTACCGCTTGCGCTATTATGCCATATCATTATGTTTTGTCATACGCCGATTCAGCACGCGAGGTAACAGTATGTCCGAAGTGCTGATACTGATCGATGCAGTAAGAAGCCCAAAAACTGCGAAGGGTAAACTAGCTCGTGTTGAGATACTCGATTGGTTTGTGATTCTGATAAAGTATATTTTTTACAGTAATTGCGATGCAAGTGCACAAGTTAAACATTTCGCGATTGTAGAGAGCTGCTTCTAGAGCTTTACAAGCTCCGATTCTGTAGGCGCATGGACGTAATTCTTCCAGTAGCCCATGAACAATTTTCTAGTTCCCTCGCTGTAGTTTGTATAATTCGTTCGGCAGTGGGATGTTGTGTTATTTGCGATGTGAAAATGGCAACTGATGATTGCTGCGTCTGGCCATGTTTCCAAAATAGCCTTGATAAGTCCGCGGTCGCAATCAACAAAAAGAAGCTTAGAATGTCGCGGGAGATGTCCTTCAGCCTCGCTTATCATCCAGACAAAGTCATCAAAAGCCTCACCATCCATAAAGTCAAATGCAGCTAAAAAAAATGGTTAGTGCGTGTAAGCCTACAATGTGCAGGAGGGGGAGGTTATAGGCGTTTGTCGTGTACGTACAAACAATCACGAGGACGTCTCGATAACGGCAAGATAAGTCCTTGGACAGGTCAAATTGCCAAAAGAGATGCCGGAAATGGTTATCGTGGTCCATTGCAACTGTAGCCATGACATGTTGATCCTTTGAGTAGAGCATTAAAGCCTCCGCATGCGTTTTACCATACGAAGCCTTCTAATTCACTTCCGGAAGATGTTGTAAACATCACTTGCTTTTAGAATGACCCTTATCGTATTGAAGTGGTTCAGTATGAGCTATCCAAAGTCTCAAATCGATACGACACACGTTTACTTGAATCTTTAAATTATCAAATAAGCACATATACCCGTGGAACCGCTCCAGACTGATGAATCTGGACGACCACGGCCTTAATCTTGTCTCATTCATTTAACACGCGCATCGCCGCTGGTAGTGCCGACAGCATTGTCTTAGTAGTACAGCGGGAATTGTAACGGGGTGAATCGTTACATAACAATTTATAAGAAACTGTTAATAGAATATAACTATAAGAGTTATATTCTCAGAATATTGTCATAAGGACAAATATTCTGTAGCACTTACGAGTAGTTCCTAATTGGTTGATATAGGCCATTATATCAACCAACGAAGACGCGCCACGACAGACGCACGCAATGAGTGGTGAGCAGATAGCTGATTTACACATTTGTATTTAGACGTAGTTAGATGAAGATAAATAGTGATTTATTGCAGACATTATCTATTATAAATACAGTTCTACTTTTTACTCGAACCGAGTACTCGATTCTTCTTACCGTCTTCCTCTGCACGTACGAGTGTACGTGAAGTTACGAGGCACCGCCTTATTCTGTCATCAGAATAAGTAGCTTGTACTGTCACCAGTACAAGCTTCAGGGTGCCCCGTTACAGGGATGGTCCAAGTGGGAGGGTGAAGCGGAGCTACCACAGCTCTTAAGTCAGAGGAAGTTTTTACGGGTTAATCAAGAGGCTTACGGATGACAGCCAGTTAGTTCTAACGAACTGATACATTAAGTTAAAGAATCGGTTAGTTCTACGGAACCAGCGCGGACTCTATGGGCTATTAGCTCAGACTACTGTAGTTTTAAGGAACTACACGCACAATGCGCAACGGGGAATACATGAGTCTAAGGACTCTCTAACCCGAGACAGTTCTAAGGAACTGGCAAGCGCAAAGTGCGACAGGGTGGAAGTTCACGGACTTCAGCTCGATATGAGAACTGAATTTATTAAGATTTTAAATCAAGGAAAATCCTTCTTTAAGTACCCTATTTTATGGTACACTGATCCGATACAAATATTAGTCTTCGAACTAAATGGGTGGTTGGCACATCACCCAGTCATCAAATGACGACGGTAAAAAGTACTTCCACGGTAAGTACCGTAACTCAGGGAATATCTACTGATCTGTATTCTCCATTGATGTAAAATCTAAGGTCACACTTGTCTCTCATATCACAAATGGGAGGTCTGCAACCAATTTAGCCGATGGCCAGTGTGACTCCATCACACCCTCCCCCACCAGGCTGACGTTACCACCAAATATCACTAGATTTTTTTCCTCATCGAGGTTGCTACTTTGTATCTTGTCATCATGGACCGACCTGAACACCTAACGGAAGGTAAAGCTCTAGCCGAATTTTTGGGTAATGAGGAAGTGGACGATAGCAATGGTAGTGATACCGACACCCAGGCGGAGGAGCAATCCGAACCCCGCACAGTTGTGTGTGAACGCAACCCACTCCCGGCACCGAATCCATTCCCTGAACAAGGTTCGGCGACTGCGCTAGCAGCGTGGGTGCGACGACTAACATGGGCCCATCCATCATCGGTAACCAACTTGACGAGGAGCAACAACGCATACTCGATCAGGCGGAAAGCGCACGGCGCAAGTCAGAAAATTTGACCACATTATATCGACATCGTGAAAACACATTTACTCCGCCTGACGTAGAAGAACGCATCCGGTAAACAGCTAGCCATGCTTTGGCAGGGTGAGCCACTGACTCCGAGGCGAAAACGCTCACCGAATTCGAATGCCTTCAGGCTCTTCAGGAAAGGTATTTGGAACCTACTGTGCTGACCTTGAGTGAGCATCAAGAAAGACGCCAGAAGCAGGCCAAGGCGCACCGACTTCACCGATAAAGGGTATAATCGTCTTAATTTCTGAAGGTGAGGACGACGTCTCAAAGGATAATGCATTCATACGGTGGGTACATGGCGCTCGACGCCTCAGTAGTATGATAGATCTGAGAGCAAGTGCCAGTGTGGCAGACGTTCGTCTGGAGCGAAAACTTCGCTACGATTTCAAAAAGTTAAAGTCCAAAGGCCGACTGAGGGAAATATCTCAATTCCGCTATGCTTCTGCTGCTCTTGCAGCTGCGAGTCTACGTCAGGATTTTGACACAAACTCGCCCGCTCTTACTATGATAGTGAGAAGCGTGGTGCTCGTCAGGACAGTCCTGATCGTGGTGCTCAAAAACTTCCACGGCGTATGGGCAGTTTTGCTGAAGAGTATCTCATACTGTCATGAGTTCTCAGACTCGGGATACCCACGCCACTTCATCAGGTACTGGTAGTGACCATGCAGAAGACTTTGTTCAAGTAACTGCTCTACATGGAACTGGGGGGTTTCATGCCTATCAAGCAACGCCGGTGGCGGTCAGTATGTTGGCTGAGAGCCACTTGAATCTGTTGAAAGATGTGAATACCCTCCGTGAGACTTCGGGTCAAACCCAGCGTGCTCTGAACGAAGCGCAGTCTCGTCTAGCGACGCTGGAAGGCGAACACGCCCGTCTTTAGACGATAGAGACACGTCTGACTCATGTTAAAGAACAGCTTGATCTCTTGATCCGGACGAAACATCCTGTGGCAACGCCAATGTACGCGTCGCCAGAGCCTCCGAGTCAACAAGGGACGGATCCCGGTACGGCTTCAGCATGCCGACATAAAAGAAGGGGTAAGTGCGCAATTTGCGCGGCAAGCTGAGCGCATACTCAAGGCCCTTCTTGACCGCGACCGTAAAAGGTCCGATAAATCGCGGACACAATTCCGTCTGAAAGGCAGCAGACTCTACAGCTGTAGGTACGTTTTAAGCGTTGAGATATTTGTTCATCTACCTCATTATTTTCGATACAACCTCTTCCTTTTCTATCTGCTTGTTCTTTTTGTTAATCTTGGCTTTCAGTCTTTGCGTCCCCCACACGTCGTAAGACATTCAACCTTGTTGCAAGGAACTCGCCAACCTATTTCTGAACAGTGGCAGGGCTGACACCAGCAAGCGTATCGGTGATCCTTCCCCCACCGAGCCCTGACTCACCGGAGGGTAGCGTTAAAGGAACGCGGGAGGGATGGGGTGTCAGACCACTTACATAAAGCGGCGTATAACTAGTCGAGGCATGAACCGACTTTTTTATTGCAAATTTGATTACCGGGAGCATGTAGCTCCAACACCAAGGTGTATCAGCGCAAGCACTTCGCATTATGTCATAAGTGACACTATAAACACGCTCACTTTGACCATCGGTCTGCGAATGATCCGCTGTGGACATGTCCCACCTGTTGCTTAGCACCTTGAAATTAAACCTTTAATATCACCCGGTAATTCGAGGATCATGGTTTGAAACAATTGCCACGGGCAAACCATGTGTAGAAATACCCGATCAATAACCAGCTGTGCTGTACATTTACCATCTATTAAGTCCGGCACAGCCTCTGAATGAGCCATCTTGCACAAACAGTCAACGATGACCACAATATCAGTGTCGCCATCCGAATATTTCGGTAGGCCTAACACAAAGTTCATACTGACGGACTCTTAACACCCAGTGGGAACAGGTAAATTCGCCAAAGGCGCAGCCGCATGAGCGGAAGAGTTAACGCGTTGACGCGTTTCACACGCACGCACATACTTGATCATCTATTTATTTTATTTAGGCCACCAATAATTTTCGAATAATCGAGCCAAATGTCTTTTTTCGACCGAGATGGCCGCTTAAAGCTGTTTCATGAGCCTTAAAGAGAATACGATACTTCAGTTGCGCATCGTGAACAGCTATGACGCGCGAAGTATCCGCCGCATCCGTGCTATAGCACAGTTGGCCATTATCAAGAGAATGCCGATGTAGCCCCGCACGTAATCGTGACGAAAACTTAATGTCCAAGTCGTTGACCTCATCACAGCCTAGTGATCGTAAAACGCGACACTTTGCTCATCCTTGGCATGAGCCGCTCGTATTAAATTAGGGTAGACGAGGATAGATTCGTAACATGAGCAAGCTCATAATCGGGCCTGCGTGACAACGCATCAGCCAAATAATTTTGCTTCCCTGGCTCGTACTTCACCTCGAATTTATTTCCTGCAAAGAAATAAAGCCAACGGGCCATTCGCTGTGGGAGGTGAGGCGACTGTGTCGCAGAGCGTAACGTCGCATGATCTGTATAGATCACAAAGGCTTTGAGCCAAGCAGATGTACTCTGAATTCAATAAGAGAGTTCTTCATTGCCAGTAGCTTCTTTTCATTAACTGGATAGTTATACTCTGCAGCTTCAGATGGCGCGACTCATGCGCGATGATGCGTTAATGTCCATCGACATCTGTCTGAAATAAGGCACTGCCAATGGCAAAATCTAACGAGTCGCAGGCAACACTGAAAGGTCGCTCCGGGTCAGGAAAGCCAACATTTGGGCATGAAGGAGACTATCCTTGATAGCCTGAATAGCTTGAGCCTGGACTGTGTCCCAACACCAACCCACATCCTTCTTGAGGTGTTTGGCCCATGACCTTGCCTCATTAGCGTAAATTGCTATAATTGTGCAAGTAATTGGCCAAACCGAGCCCAGTTCGCAATTACTTTTGTAGTGAGGAATCGGCCAGTCAACAATTGACTATACCTTAGCGGGATCCGCCCACAGACCGCGCTTCCCAACAAAGTACCCTAGGAAGGGGATTTCTTTAGCCCCAAAAAGTCATTTGATGCATTCGCATACAACTTGTTGGTACGCATGAACCCGAGCACCTCTCGTAATTGGTCTGTGTGATTTTCCACATCTGAACTCCCTTGCTCCGCACGGCTATGGACAAAGATGTCATCAAAAAAGCTTTGTGCATATACTCCGTGATGTCGTATCAACTGCGTCACGAGACGATTAAACGTAGCAGATTCGTTTGATAGCTTTCGGTTCATAATTAGATACTTCCAAAGCATTCCACTTTGCGTACTATCCGCTGCAGGCGGAACATCACTCGCTCGCATGAGCAATTGGTAATGCTTGTAAATCAATTCGAGTGTACTGAACATGGTGCAGCCCACCATAGCGTTGTTGAGAACATCCGTTCCAGGTAAAGGTGTCTGTGCCGGTATAGTGGTGGCGTTCAGAGTATTGTAAGTATGCACAATACGCCACTTACCATCAGGCGTTCTGACACAAAAAGGTCAGTGTCTAATTCGGTTATTTGCTCTCCCATAATATGCCTACCGCGTGCTTTGCACGAAACAACTCGTCAGTGACGTCACACTGTTCCTTATGAAACGGCCGTTGCCTTATAACTCAATTTTTTTGAGTAAACGGCCGTTGCCTTATAACTCAATGATTTTGAGTAAGCGGCCGTTGCCTTATAACTCAATATTTCTGAGTAATAAGGCAACGGCCGCTTCCTGAAGAGCAGTGTGACGTCACTGACGAGTTCTTTCGTGCAAAGCACGCGGAAGTTCCCAGGGAACAGGTCAATCTCATGACGCACACCTCTCTCGGGAGGTTGGTTAGATGGTGGATCATTATACGCCACATATAAAATTCCTAACCAAGGAGTAGCAGAGATCTGAAGGATCCTTCAAGATTGCAAACAAATCATTTGCGAGCAGTGAGTGCAACTTCAACGTCCGCAAGGACCATCTCATCCAAAAGGGATGAAGATTTCAACTATAGATCAGGTCTAAGAACCACCATATCAGACAAAGCACCGGCCATTAAGGTCTGATAAAATTTAACTACAGACATTTAATCTTGCTCTAACAGAGCGTAAAGCAATGGGAGGGCATTGAGGCCAACTTCTCCATCAGTATCGCCCGTCACCCCATTGCCAATGTGAACAACTGTTCACTGGTGTTCTTTTGGGACATGGCAAATGCCTATCGTTTTGCAGCATCCATCCGGCGTTGTTGCCGTTTCTGCACAGAGACTGAAAAATTCAGTGTGTTAGGAATATCCCGTTCCACGAGGTAAATATCATCTTTAACCTCAACTTGTTCTACCTGAGAGCCAATATCATCACCTACATTAAGTGTGGTGCCATCGCGGCCGACTACACTCTGTGGATTATTTTCCACGATGTTTGCACTAAGCGAGCACGTCTCTTGATGCCTTGGCGTATCGCCAACAATGTCATTAGCGACATTTAATGTGGTGCCATCACGGCCAACCTCACTCAGTAAAGTGCATGCCACAGCACATGTACCATTTGGGGCTAGCCCTGGGTGCCTTGGCATCTCGCCAACAAAGTCATTACCAACATTTGGGGAGGTGCTATCGCAACGTCCCTCACCCGGTAAATTTATACGTGCCACTCCACGTGCATCACAGTGATCTCACTTAGGATACTCGGCTCTAGGCCATCAATGCGACTAGCATTCATTGATTCACTATTACCAGTGTCACTTAACGAAGTACGTGCCGTTCCACTATTGTTCATGACATTAGAGCTAATTAACTCAGACACTCCGATGTCCAGTACACTGAAGACTCAGTTAGTGGCTTGCACCAATAGCGCTTTTGTTGCCTAGAAAAGTGGGTTTCATGACTCTCTAAAGCTTCGCTAGAAATAATTCGCGTTGCGCCTAAGGTCTTTGACCTGCACACAATCCAGGTTCATAGCGTTCCAGCCAAGCCATCCCAAGGATGAGATCATATCTCGAGTCCAAATTAAGGACACGATAACGTTCAATACTATCGAAGCTAAAAACTTTTTACCTAAGTTCTATGGAACTTTAAACATGGTGACACGGGTCCCAGTCGCTAAGCGAACAGTGACAACATCACCCTCATGCACTTTGAGCACCTCAGCATACTTCTGACATCCTTAAAGGGATCGGCGCTGAACACAGTTTCCCGACGCCCCAGAATCAATAAATATTGACCACGACTCTTCAAAGCCCTTAATCTTAGCCGATGCGACTAACAAGCCTGGCTTATGCTCACACCTCGTGGCGACCTGCACGGTCCGACTGAGAATAATCCCTGTCTATCTCTACCACCTAGATGTTCGAAAGAGCCTGGTTCCTCTCCTCAGTAAGGCTTTCCGCGCCCACAAGGAGTTGATGATTTCCCGCTCCGTACCCACCTCCGAGTTAGGAGACGGATTGCGGCTATGCCGACTTTGACGCGGTTTCAGAAGCGAACAATGTGGACACAAGTGTTGGGTGCTCTCGCAAGTGTAACAATTGCGGTTGTTACGTTGCTGTTTATAATCTTGAAGCACTGCTTCGTCTTCTTCAGCTAACTGAGGTCCATGGGCTCAGCCCCGTCATTGGGCATGCTTATGAGCGCCACAGCGAGCGTCTGTAAAGTTGAACTCAGCGTTTAACGCTATGGCGACAGCCTCTTTACATGTTAAGGGGTGGACGCAGAATCCTTCCGTCCTCGCGACCCCAGTACGTAGTTACTCCATAAATATGGTGACACGGACTTCTTCTGGAAGAGGGTTCAGCTTCATGGCAGCTATGAGAGATCGCAACTCCTGGACAAAGTCCAAAAATCCCATTCTCTCCTGCCTGGCGGCAAGGAATCGGTAGCGTACACGGTAC